TTTCTGTTTTTTCTACTGTTTTTTTAATATTTTGTGTTTGATTAAAGTATTCTTCTGTATCTGCAAACGGGATTAATTGGTCTCTTAGACTATTAATTTTTTTGTCTAAATTGAGAAGTCTTTCACTTTTAACTTTAATCAGGCTCCTCATAAGGCCGAACGTGCAGAGCTCTAAGTGGTTATACCACTCTTCCATGAAATTTCTATTATCTGTGTCTGATGTCGGCATTTTGAAAAGTCTGAGACCTCTAGGGGTGATTTTGTCTTCAACATATTTACTAAGAGTCGCAATTTCCCATCTTAGTTTCATTTCTTTAATTAAAGAGAATTCTAGTTCTTTTAATAATTCTTTTGGGTCATCAAATGTGATTAACGGTTCATTATTATCTAGTATATCTAGATCATCGATATCATTAAAAATGTAATTTAGGTCAATATTATAATTGTCCCGATATTCAAATAGAGTCATATTGATTAATTGAGTTTTGTGGGGCACCTCAACTGGGAAGTAGTCTAGCAAGAGGAAAAGAAGAGATATGTCGGGTGCTCACTCCAAAGATAAACAGTTAAATAGGCAGCAGTAACCAAAACAAGGATTCCCAGCCTTGATAGGAAACAGTATGGAAAAAGGGGGGGGAGAGAAACCGCGCCTTATATGAATTATATATACATACACTTGATGTCTCTTAGTAGTTGCAGGTAATTTGTCCTCAAAAAGAAAACAGAAAAAATATATACAATAGTGTAGTATGTTTAACAATGTTAGAAAAGAGTAATAAATAAAACGGAGGTATTTTACACTCACATTTGGTAGAGCTACTGTGGGAGCTCTACCGTAATAGGTGTGGACGGTACAATCCCCGTCTTAGGATGAGAAGTCCAGCGTCTTGAGTACTCCAATGGTATAATGGTACAGATAAAAGAAACACAGGAAACTCCAATAGTGTAGTAATTCCAATTAAAAGTATAAATAGATAAATATAAGTATTTATACTCACATTTACTAGAGCAGATAACTATTACTCTTTTCTAACATTGTTAAACATACTACACTATTGTATATATTTTTTCTGTTTTCTTTTTGAGGACAAATTACCTGCAACTACTAAGAGACATCAAGTGTATGTATATATAATTCATATAAGGCGCGGTTTCTCTCCCCCCCTTTTTTCCATACTATTTTCTGTTTATTTATATATTTTTAAGGTACGTTGGAGTACACTGGAAATCCAGTATCCTATTATTTGGATACCACCAAAGACGAACATAATACTATCAAATACCTCAGGAAATCCACCGCTGTGGAGGTGGTTGACTCCATTTGGAACTTTATACTATATTATTTTAACAATATTGAGACTACCACTATGTATTGAACTTTGGGGTCTGTTGGCTAAGAGCTGACACTTCACTATTGCTAAATTTGTTTTACACGGATTGGAGAATTTCCTTTTAAGTGTTAAGCAACTACTTATTAATGAATTGTATGTGTTTATATCTGTAATTGCAATACTGTTGTGCTCTTTTGATTTATTTTTCTGTAATTATCAAGTGTTTCTATCCCTAATTCACTACCATTTAGGATATAAGTTCATTGTGCTTTATTCACCCTTAAGTGCATAACTTTACTTTTAACTACATTGAAATTAATCTGCCATCTGCGTTCCAAGTCCCCTAATCTTTCTAAATCCCTACAGCAAAGTAATATCCTGCTCACATTGTATTTCCTTACCTTGTTTTTGTCATTTAAAAACATTGACACATAGAAGTGTTCTCGTAACAAACCCCTGAGGGACACCAATCACCACTTTTGTCCAGTTTGAAAATGTACCATTAATGACAATGGTACTCTATCTTTAAGCCAATGTTCTACCCAAGAACAGCATGTTTAAGTAAGACCAGTTTCTTTTGAACACTAACCTATTGTGTGGAACCGTATCAAATGCATATACTATAGTTAAATGCCTAGTGTTTATACATGCTTGCTACTTTGTAGAATGCAATTCTAATAGTTTGATGTGACCCATGTTTCATGAAACCATGTTGATTTTTGCTAATGAATTCCTGAATATCATCCCTTAACCCCATAAGGACCAAACTTCTGGAATAAAAGGGAATCATGACATGTCACACATGTCATGTGTCCTTAAGGGGTTAATAACCCTTCAAATGCTTTCCCAGCCAGAAAAGTTAAGTTCACAGGTCTATAAATTTCATGATTTTGTACCCTTTTTAAATATAGGAACCATATCTGCCTTGCTCCAATTCTTTAGTACAACTCCTGAAAAAAAAGAATCCTGGAAGTTGAAAAAGTGGAGGTTCACTTATTTCCTAATTTAGCTCTTTAACATGAACCTGTACTGACCGAAATTTTTTTTTTTTTTTTTAGTTTTCTAACCATCTGACTTCACTCATACAATTAAGTGTTTCTTTCCCTAATACTGTTAAAATATTGTATTTTAATTTATTTTAATTACTTCTGTCTACTGCTGAGACCATCACCTGAACAGCTTTGCTTCCCATAATAGGTTAAAAGTCCCTAACACATTATGTTGGGATTGTGCAAATAAAACTAATCACTCTCCATTCTCAGATTATCTTCCAAAGCTGCAGCAATAACTCATTCTGGCTGTTTCTCTCCTCTTTCTGTGCTTAAAGCTGGTGTTGCTCTGACACAGAGTCTGCCTACATCCCCATTGGAAATTACAGGCCCTGGTTTAAATGTAATACATGTAATTTTTTTTGTTATTATTAGTAATATAGCACCAACATATTTTTTAAAATTATATGAAGGAGATAGTTTGAGGTGAATAAATCCCTACTCAAATTAACTTGCAAGATCTGACAGGAATTGAAACCTGTGTTTTCCAGGTCTAGGGCTACATTACCACTTCTGTAAGCAGATGACTGCTAGATATTTCTAAATGTTTTAAACATGATACAAAATAAAAAAAAATTTAACTTCTAATTCTCATTTGCTGATTTTATAGAAAGGTGTTAGAATCCTAAATGTATTATTTTTTTGGAAGTTATACAAATATCAAACATTCCACCCTGTTGGAAATGATTATGCAAATTCTATTTGTGTCACAAATATGAAATATTTTGTTTTTCAGTTTAACTCATGGATGGCATTGTGTCCCAGGGCTCTTTTGATCACTGATAACAATCTCGGACACCTGTGATAATTAGATTGCCAGGTGAGCCCAATTTAAGGAAAAACTTAGAGCACCATTTTCATGCAATATGGAGAAGAAAAAGGATCTCTCTGCTGCCAAAAAGAGTGAAATAGTTCAATGCCTTGGACGAGGTATGAAAACATTAGATATTTCATGAAAAATTAAGCATGATCATCGCACTATTAAGAGATTTGTGGCTGATTTAGAGCACAGATGTGTTCGTGCAGATAAAGGCACATTGAAGAAGATTTCTGCCAGATCCATGCATCGGATCAAGAGAACAGCTGCTAAAATACCATTACATAGCAGCAAACAGATACTTGAAGATGCTGGTGCCTCTGGAGTCCCACTGACATCAAGGTGTAGAGTCCTCCAGAGTCTTGCAACTGTGCATAAACCTTTTATTCGGCCACCACTAACCAATGCTCACAAGCAGAAACGGCTGCATTGGGCAGAAAAATACATGAAGACTAATTTTCAAATAGTCCTGTTCACTGATGAGTGTCGTGCAACCCTGGATGGTCCAGATGGATGGAGTAGTGGATGGTTGGTGGATGGCCACCCTGTTCCAACAAGGAACGTCAGCAAGGCAGTGGTGGAGTCATGTTTTTGGCCTCAATCATGGGAAGAGAGCTGGTCGGCCCCTTTAGGGTCCCCGAAGGTGTATAGATGACCTCTGCAAAGTATGTGGAGTTTCTGCCTGACCACTTTCTTCCCAGGTACAGAAGGAAGAACTATGCTTTCCGTAATAAAATCATGCTGCAAAGAATACCTCTGCAGCAATAGCTGCTATGGGGATAAAAGGAGAGAAAGTCATGGTGTGGCCTCCATCCTCCCCTGACCTCAACCCTTGAGAACCTTTTGAGCATCCTCAAGCATCTATGAGGGTGGGAGGCAGTTTACATCCAAACAGCAGCTCTGGGAGGTTATTCTAACATCTTGCAAACAAATTCAAGCAGAAACTGTCCAAAAAACTCACAAGTTCAATGGATGCAAGACTTGTGAAGCTGCTATCAAAGAAGGGGTCCTATGTTAAAATGTAACGTGACCTGTTAAAATGTTTAAAAAGTTAAAATGTTGTTATAGGTTTGATTGAAATAGCTTTTGATTTCAGTAAATATGCTGCAGACACAACAAATGACAATTTTCAATTCTTTACAACCTATAAAGTGTTTTGAAACTGTACGTAATAATTTGGAACAGTGCATTGTAAGTTTTTTTTTTTTTTTAAATACTGTTATCATTAGGAGGTTTGTTCAATAAAATTTGAATTGTACTCTTAATAGTTGGTAACACGAGAATTATGCTGACTTTTATTTACATCAATTATTTAGGTAAATGAGAAAAATATCATTTGCATAATAATTTGGAACAGGATGTAAAACATAATACGCATAATGTGAACTATTTATAAAATTTATTTTTTTAAGTTCCTTTTTTAATATTTGAAATGTTTTACAGATGAGCTAAAAAATAAACAATATCTAAGAAAACTAAAATAAATATCAGTGATACTGGTGCTTAACCCCTTCACATCACTACTAGTGATGCACATACCAGCTAAACAGACATGCCTTTCCAATGGAAAAAGATACATCAATATAACATAATACTTGGGGTGGAGCCTGACCTGCAACGAAGATGGTTGCATAATTGTAAAGCTCTGCTGCGGACCCGCCACAGCTACAGCCACCATAAGCATATCCCCTAATTTATCCACCTTTACCTGCTTCTCACCACATTTCCGAGCCGGGCGCACATGACAGCACCCATCAACCCGACTCGAAGAAGTGCTGCGGGAGCTACACAAAGCACTCGGCCATGGCGCCGATATTTCGCACAAGGCCAGAAAAGGACCAAACGTCTAACCATGGAGCAGCACTCTCTGACAATGATTCGGAGGACAGCTGCTCCGTACCAGCAGGCAGCCTGGACGCTCCCCTCACCATGAGAGATATGAGAGAGTTCATGAGGGGGTTGAAATCCTATGTAGCAGAGGAACTACAGAAGCCCCTCCAACCTCTCCATGAGAGCCTCACAGACCTCGCCATGTGGACACATAAGGTGGAAACCAAAATGGAGGACACCCTCACAATGGTAAATACCCATGACACAGCCATCCAAGAGTTTAGAGAGCAAATTAGGGGCTTGGAGGAGGCACAGAAGGACTAAGTAGTCTCGCCGAAATACCATACGGATAAGGGGCAAATCAGAAACCATCTCTATAGGGCTCCTGCAGCCTACCATCACTGATGCCTTCCAAAGCCTATTACCTGAATCCTCCCAGGCTGATCTACTGGGCCTGATCTCTCCGTTCTCCTGGTAATGATGATAATGGCTAAACAGTTACAGATGTATTATTGATTTACTCTATTTTACTCTATTTTATTGCATGCTGATGACAACTTATCTTTTATAGGTTTATTTTGTTTTAATGTTGAACTGTGATTCTCATGTTCAGACCTGGCACACGAGCTCCTGAAGAGCCACTGACCATATGCCGACCCTTATTAGATGCATGCAGCCGTAATTTAGACACACCACCGGTCGTACCCCCATACCTATCCTACCTATACAATTACCTGGGGGATAATTCATTACAAATTGCTAGATCAAAACAGTCTGCGACCAGCTCTGTATACACATCGTACACACTACTGACTGATATTCTCTATACATTCTTTTTCCAACACTTTCTACTCCCAACCTCTGGGGGACTACTGCATACCTCCACTGAGATGTTACATGTTCATCCTCACCTTGTGGTGCTTGTGGGAATAACTACCTTCCGGGCATTGGTGGAGATGCTGGTCAGCAGCCCTTTACCATGGTGTCTGACTCCTGCAGCATATTAAAAGACGCCAGCCGCTGCAGACCCATGCCAATTTGGAGCTCCACGTCCACCAGCGGCATTAATAACTTCAACGTGCATGTGAGGACGTAGAGGACGCACGCGCACATTCAGGGGTCAGAGGCTTTCTTACCTTCCCTCATTGCCTTATCGGGGTTTCCCTTAGTGGTTGTCCGAGAGTGTGTTCCTGAGTGTTTATTTCTGCTTATTGACTTTGGCTTTGTTTGACTTCCCTGTATTCTGGTACCCCTGAATTTTGGCTTCCCTCATAGTTGTGTCTCATTCTGTGTCCCCGACCTCGGCAAGTATCCTGACTATTCTCTTTTACGTTAAGTCCGGCCATTCTAAGGCCCGGTACGACATTACCTTTAGTCCTAGGTGTTATACAGTTCTGTTGGATTGACTAGTATCCTGACATGAGGTTGCCCTCCCAAAACCAACTGGCACTAAAGATAAGCCCAGTTTCCTCCTACCTATCCCACCTTCTCTTGCTACTGCACTGCTGGGGAGCTATCAGGGGATGTAACTGGGGGTCTTTCATCCAAATTTACTAATACTAAGTAAAGATTACTTAGTATTAGTAATTAAGGGAGAGTAAAATAGTGGGGCACCTTTAAAAATAATCCATGGGGGCCCCCACTCGTGCACCGTCAGTCGCCGTGGCTTGACTGGGCCCTGGAACCGCTCCTTCCTGGAGCCGAATGGGGAATTAGCACTAGTCCTTACAAGGGCTTTCCCAGTTGAATCCCCTGCAAGTTGGAACAGCAGACACAGGAGTAAATCGTCTTTCCCTACAATAACAGGACGACACACCGTTTTGAGTGTAAGCTGAAATAGATTTTAATGGTGCCACACTGGCCTTTTATGACAATCCCCATGCAAGGGGTATGCCGACATGGACCTTGTTGGAGACAGGGACAAACCAATAATAACACATTTACAAAACGTACAAACCAATAATAACACATTTACAATGTAAGGCACTGCCACACATGACACATCCCCATCTGCTTGGGAGATAATTGCATCAGTAACTGTACTAATTCTTATCCAGTTATCTCCAAGCACAGAAAAAACATCAATTTCTAAAAAGTCCCAAAAGTACCCCAAAACACACAATATCCCCTCAAATGTTACATTTCTGATAGCCCTGATCTGGGTGACCAACATTTCCAAAAATAACCAAGATCAGTTCAGGGGTTCAGGAATTTCCTGGAAGTCATAATTTTGACCGACCGTGCACATGGTCCTATGCCCAAAACAATTCCATGAAATCAGTGCTAATGGTCGGTCAAGTTTGGTAGTATTTTACAGGTTTCCCTGCAGGGTCCATTGTCTGTGGGCAGGAGGCTGTCAAGCAGGCTCCTCCAGGAGCTTGTGGCAAACTCACTTGGAGTAGGGAGTTTGTCACAGTCTATATAATGCATCAAAAGGTGGTGGATAGTCCCACATTGAGTATCGTTTTACAGTGTTTCCATGATTAATCATAAAATAATGCAAACTTTCACTATTGGATTAATAAAAAAATGATTTGGCATTCAGATTCCATATATGTGGAATGTATTTAGAACTGGTTTAGACTTAATACATTTGCTTAAGTGTTTCACTGCTAGATATGTTTTTAGTTCTAAAAGAATAATGAACAAAATTACGAGTTTGTAATTAGACTTAATTGATGTTTAATAATTCAAGCATATCATATTACAAAAAAGGTAAGTTTGCTTTAAAATAGTCAAATATAGCCATTTGTTAAATAATGCAGTGCTCATAGTAGATACAATATGTATTAACACTAAAAAAAGATTCATTGCCACTTATCTACTGAAATCAGAATATGCTAATCATTTTTGCATAATATATATGTTTTACTTAAATATTAAGAAAAGCTTGTTACCTTAACAACTAGTCTGTGTTGGTACAGTATATTAAATTGTTTTACACAGGCGTTACCAAGAATAAAACTATATTTAAGTATACGTAAAAATATATTTCTCTCATATCACTGAAAATGTAGCCTGAAAAGTGTATTAAGAGTGTAAAGATATTTTCTTCGATAAAAAGAAGACTGATCTTATGTAAATATCAATCGAACTGTGACTGAGATGAACATATGTAATAAAAAACATATAATTATATGACACTACTACTTGTACACTATACTAAATCCATATGCATATTTAAATAACTGTTTTTTTTAGTATCATTCCAATGGCCATACAGGGAGTGCAGAATTATTAGGCAAGTTGTATTTTTGAGGATTAATTTTATTATTGAACAACAACCATGTTCTCAATGAACCCAAAAAACTCATTAATATCAAAGCTGAATATTTTTGGAAGTAGTTTTTAGTTTGTTTTTAGTTTTAGCTATGTTAGGGGAATATCTGTGTGTGCAGGTGACTATTACTGTGCATAATTATTAGGCAACTTAACAAAAAACAAATATATACCCATTTCAATTATTTATTATTACCAGTGAAACCAATATAATATCTCAACATTCACAAATATACATTTCTGACATTCAAAAACAAAACAAAAACAAATCAGTGACCAATATAGCCACCTTTCTTTGCAAGGACACTCAAAAGCCTGCCATCCATGGATTCTGTCAGTGTTTTGATCTGTTCACCATCAACATTGCGTGCAGCAGCAACCACAGCCTCCCAGACACTGTTCAGAGAGGTGTACTGTTTTCCCTCCTTGTAAATCTCACATTTGATGATGGACCACAGGTTCTCAATGGGGTTCAGATCAGGTGAACAAGGAGGCCATGTCATTAGATTTTCTTCTTTTATACCCTTTCTTGCCAGCCATGCTGTGGAGTACTTGGACGCGTGTGATGGAGCATTGTCCTGCATGAAAATCATGTTTTTCTTGAAGGATGCAGACTTCTTCCTGTACCACTGCTTGAAGAAGGTGTCTTCCAGGAACTGGCAGTAGGACTGGGAGTTGAGCTTGACTCCATCCTCAACCCGAAAAGGCCCCACAAGCTCATCTTTGATGATACCAGCCCAAACCAGTACTCCACCTCCACCTTGCTGGCGTCTGAGTCGGACTGGAGCTCTCTGCCCTTTACCAATCCAGCCACGGGCCCATCCATCTGGCCCATCAAGACTCACTCTCATTTCATCAGTCCATAAAACCTTAGAAAAATCAGTCTTGAGATATTTCTTGGCCCAGTCTTGACGTTTCAGCTTGTGTGTCTTGTTCAGTGGTGGTCGTCTTTCAGCCTTTCTTACCTTGGCCATGTCTCTGAGTATTGCACACCTTGTGCTTTTGGGCACTCCAGTGATGTTGCAGCTCTGAAATATGGCCAAACTGGTGGCAAGTGGCATCGTGGCAGCTGCACGCTTGACTTTTCTCAGTTCATGGGCAGTTATTTTGCGCCTTGGTTTTTCCACACGCTTCTTGCGACCCTGTTGACTATTTTGAATGAAACGCTTGATTGTTCGATGATCACGCTTCAGAAGCTTTGCAATTTTAAGAGTGCTGCATCCCTCTGCAAGATATCTCACTATTTTTGACTTTTCTGAGCCTGTCAAGTCCTTCTTTTGACCCATTTTGCCAAAGGAAAGGAAGTTGCCTAATAATTATGCACACCTGATATAGGGTGTTGATGTCATTAGACCACACCCCTTCTCATTACAGAGATGCACATCACCTAATATGCTTAATTGGTAGTAGGCTTTCGAGCCTATACAGCTTGGAGTAAGACAACATGCATAAAGAGGATGATGTGGTCAAAATACTAATTTGCCTAATAATTCTGCACTCCCTGTATAAGTGTAAGCTCACCTGCCACGTCTTAGATGAGTCCTATGCTAACAATTTACCTTGCTTCTTTCAGCTTCAGGTGAAAATCTGTAATGAGACAGAGAAGGTATATTTTTCTAAACCCCTACATACTTATTAACCCTTAATAGGGAACACATGTTACTGTGCTGCCACCCAGCTCATGTAGCCCCAAGGAACCAGCGCAGCTTAGTGGATAAGGGCCTTGACAGAGCTAGGAGGCGGGCTTAGGGGGAAGGTGTGTTGAGATAGGGTATTTGGGACTAAGTATACATAGGCAGCCATCTTAGAGTTCCACAGTTTAATTTTCTTAGCTGGCTGAAATTGCTGATGCTACCTTGGCTAAGCCGCTACGATAACAAAGGTGATGCGGATCTGTTACGGTTGAATTTTCCGGACGTGGTGAGGAAGAAGTTGGGCAAGGAAGTTCAGCTGGGAAGGATGGCCGGTTCATTTGGGGAGCCACCTTTTCCCAACCTTCTCATGTCTCCTTTGCGGGTGGTCCCCAAAAAGGAGCTGGGTAAATT